CGGTGTACATCTTGCCCCTGGTCAATTGGGTTCATGAGCCTCTAATGAAGCTTCATAAAGGGACAAGTTCTGTAACTGGTAAACCAGCATTGGGGTGGGAAGATCTTTGAATAGCACCACCCAGTCTCCCTGTCTGAGCATGGGGCCCTGTTTTTGGGTCAGGGGCCAGCCTACCGGTATAGCCTCAATTATCTGATTTCGTTTGCTGCCCAAATCTTTTATGTTTCGCATCTGTGTTTTTAAGGTGGTCTCAGATTTCCAGTCCCCCGTTTGGGTGTCCCGCAGGTCCCCTATGGACCCATGGTGAAAACTCCCTTTTTAGCCCAGGACAACCATGATGAATTTGTCCGGAGGCTGAGCATGAGTCCCGCTTCATCGACAATCTGCGGGTTACCGAAGATCGGTGGTCTCCAAACGTCATGCCATCTGAGTGGGGTAGTTTTTTGCTCTGGGCCTTTCTCCCTCCATAGCTTGAGGAGGGACGTCCAGAGGGGGTGAGTGAGGAGGTCTCTCTTGGCCTGGTTGGCTGGGGAGGACTCTCTCGCATGCCTAGGGCCCTAGGGGGGACGGAATTGACCAGCCCTTGTTAGTGAGCTATTGAAGTGCACTATCGGGTGTTGGGTTTCTGCGTCCGAAGCCAGGCAGCTGAGTTGAATATGAGCTAGGGGGGCCCAAGGTATATCATTCCCCATGAGTAATCCAACGATCAACTTAAAGATGAGGGCGTCGATCTCGTCCCCCAGGTCGATTATGCCTACCCCCTGGGCTTGTGGTTGAGTTATATGCTGCCACGCGACCTGATAGATGCACCTGTTGGCCAGTGCCCTCCTTAAGTGTGCCAGTTGTCTTGGGGTTAGCTTCCAAAACGCAGTTTTATACCAGATTGCTGCCGACATAGATTTATTTATGGCCAGGGCTCTTCCCACCATTGAGGTGTATTGCCCTTTCCATTTTGAGATCTGTTTCAGCGCTGTCTACCAAGTTGTCGCCATGGCCCTTTGGAGGGCCCAGTGCTGTGAGTTTGACTCCCAGAATTCTTATTGCTTTCTCCTTACCCCTCCAGGTAACACTGGGTTGTGCTGGGGGGGGCCTGGTCCTGAGATTGTAGCCACCACCCCTCTTTTTTGGTTCCCCAGTTAACTAACATATCTGCCGCTATAGAGAACAGATGCACCACCTCCTTCTCCACCAATAGATGGAGCAACCCGGCAGCCGAGGCCCAAGGCTTAAAAAATAAAAAGGGAAAACTAAGGCGCAGTCAATGTTTCCAGTTTTAAATATGTTTCAGTCACGGTTTCATGAATTTTGCTCCAAAACAAAAGCAAGGAAAATCGTGAGTGTATCCAACCCAGCTTTAGGGTTGGGTGGGGATGTGTTGTATTCGAGGGATGCCTGAAGTGGATTTAGAAATGAAAACCTGACTGCGCAGTAGTTACACCCCCTGCCCCC